CTAATTAGCGTAGATTTCTTCTCTAGTTTTACGACTTCAAGGTAGTGGACCTTGAAATACAAGAGAGACAATTGATGGATGTTCAGTTCAGAACATCAAAAATAAAATTATTGTACGCAAATAAAAATGTCACCTTGTATTGCATCCCTAAAGTTAGAGGAGTTGGTGCTCAGGGTAAGTAATCCAGCTAACGTAGAGGCGGACCTACATGTGCTTCAAGATTAGCAATTTCTGGTGGGGCACCAGTACTAATCTTGACAAAATGCTCAACGTTGCAATCCTCAGGAATCTTCCAAAGAGATTTTCGACGATCTCTTTAAGTTTTTCCTAGACTTTTTGTGAGCTTCAAGCTAGAAATAAAAAATCTCCCACATGAAACAAAATATGATATCATAAAACATTAACAATTGCTTTACAAGAATGGCAGCAATGTTAACTTTGCGGTCAAGCTCTTGTATTCTTTTAAATGCCTCATTCTTCTCTGCAGTCTTACGCTCTAATTCAATTTTTTTGTTTTTCCATCTATTCATTTACTTCGTCCTTTAACAAAAAACAAGACGTTTAATGGGAATCATACAAAGATAGCGTAAAACAAAAAATAAAAAATAAAACATAGGCCTTTTCTTGTGTTGTCTAGTCAATTATGTCAAGCTTAGCAAGCCTCTGTCGCAATTCTTCCAAATCTAAAATACACGACACATTAGCACCGAAGATTACCATAAAAATGAAAATCTTCATTTCAATTTCTCAAACCTTCGCCATCTTCGCTTTGAATTGTCATTTGTTGGATTACTTTATCCGCTAGAACCCAAATTTATCTCGCTTCTCTATTGTCGTCTAAATATATAGTTTACAGTGTTAAAGGTAAACTTTGAAATTCAAAAAGGCTCGTTTCATTTTTTAAACCATCAAACGCAAATACATATAATAAATTATCAACTGCCTTCTTGTTAAAATATTCAACAAAAGGTCAGTGTTGTGGCGGAGAAAAAACGGGGCACTTGAAGTAACAAAACTTAACATACGCTACACCACTACGAAAAGATCCACATGAAATAGACAACATACTTGGAAAAAGAAGAAAATGTCGAAGAATCGATAAAAAAGGAGGAAATGCTTCCGTTTGTCCAATTTAACGTTTGATAATCTCCGTCATTCTAATTAGCGTAGATTTCTTCTCTAGTTTTACGACTTCAAGGTAGTGGACCTTGAAATACAAGAGAGAGCAATTGATGGATGTTCAGTTCAGAACATCAAAAAAATAAAAATTATTGTACGCAAATAAAAATGTCACCTTGTATTGCATCCCCTAAAGTTACAGGTGTTGGTGCTCCAGGAGTAAGTAATCCAGCTAAAGTAAAAGGGGAGGCGGACCAACATGTGCTTCAAGATTAGCAATTTCCGGTGGGGCACCAGAACTATTCTTGACAAAATGCTCAACGTGCAATCCTCAGGAATCTTCCAAAGAGATTTTTCGACGATCTCTTTAAGTTTTTCCTAGACTTTTATGTGAGCTTCAAGCTAGGAAATAAAAAAATCTCCACATGAAACAAAAATATGATATCATAAAACATTAACAATTGCTTTACAAGAATGGCAGCAATGTTAACTTTGCGGTCAAGCTCTTGTATTCTTTTAAATACCTCATTCTTCTCTGCAGTCTTACGCTCTAATTCAATTTTTTTGTTTTTCCATCTATTCATTTACTTCGTCCTTTAACAAAAAACAAGACGTTTAATGGGAATCATATAAAGATAGCGTAAAACAAAAAATAAAAAATAAAAAATAGACCTTTTCTTGTGTTGTCTAGTCAATTATGTCAAGCTTAGCAAGCCTCTGTCGCAATTCATCCAAATCTAAAATACACGACACATTAGCACCGAAGATTACCATAAAAATGAAAATCTTCATTTCAATTTCTCAAACCTTCGCCATCTTCGCTTTGAATTGTCATTTGTTGGATTACTTTATCCGCTAGAACCCAAATTTATCTCGCTTCTCTATTGTCGTCTAAATATATAGTTTACAGTGTTAAAGGTAAACTTTGAAATTCAAAAATGCTCGTTTCACTTACTAAACCATCAAACGCAGATACATATAATAAATTATCAACTGCCTTCTTGTTAAAATATTCAACAAAAGGTCAGTGTTGTGGCGGAGAAAAAACGGGGCACTTGAAGTAACAAAACTTAACATACGCTACACCACTACGAAAAGATCCACATGAAATAGACAACATACTTGGAAAAAGAAGAAAATGTCGAAGAATCGATAAAAAAGGAGGAAATGCTTCCGTTTGTCCAATTTAACGTTTGATAATCTCCATCATTCTAATTAGCGTAGATTTCTTCTCTAGTTTTACGACTTCAAGGTAGTGGACCTTGAAATACAAGAGAGAGCAATTGATGGATGTTCAGTTCAGAACATCAAAAAAATAAAAATTATTGTACGCAAATAAAAATGTCACCTTGTATTGCATCCCCTAAAGTTACAGGTGTTGGTGCTCCAGGAGTAAGTAATCCAGCTAAAGTAAAAGGGGAGGCGGACCAACATGTGCTTCAAGATTAGCAATTTCCGGTGGGGCACCAGAACTATTCTTGACAAAATGCTCAACGTGCAATCCTCAGGAATCTTCCAAAGAGATTTTTCGACGATCTCTTTAAGTTTTTCCTAGACTTTTATGTGAGCTTCAAGCTAGGAAATAAAAAAATCTCCACATGAAACAAAAATATGATATCATAAAACATTAACAATTGCTTTACAAGAATGGCAGCAATGTTAACTTTGCGGTCAAGCTCTTGTATTCTTTTAAATGCCTCATTCTTCTCTGCAGTCTTACGCTCTAATTCAATTTTTTTGTTTTTCCATCTATTCATTTACTTCGTCCTTTAACAAAAAACAAGACGTTTAATGGGAATCATACAAAGATAGCGTAAAACAAAAAATAAAAAATAAAACATAGGCCTTTTCTTGTGTTGTCTAGTCAATTATGTCAAGCTTAGCAAGCCTCTGTCGCAATTCTTCCAAATCTAAAATACACGACACATTAGCACCGAAGATTACCATAAAAATGAAAATCTTCATTTCAATTTCTCAAACCTTCGCCATCTTCGCTTTGAATTGTCATTTGTTGGATTACTTTATCCGCTAGAACCCAAATTTATCTCGCTTCTCTATTGTCGTCTAAATATATAGTTTACAGTGTTAAAGGTAAACTTTGAAATTCAAAAAGGCTCGTTTCATTTTTTAAACCATCAAACGCAAATACATATAATAAATTATCAACTGCCTTCTTGTTAAAATATTCAACAAAAGGTCAGTGTTGTGGCGGTGAAAAAACGGGGCACTTGAAGTAACAAAACTTAACATACGCTATACCACTACGAAAAGACCCACATGAAATAGACAACATACTTGGTAAAACAAGAAAATGTCGAAGAATCGATAAAAAAGGAGGAAATGCTTCCGTTTGTCCAATTTAACGTTTGATAATCTCCATCATTCTAATTAGCGTAGATTTCTTCTCTAGTTTTACGACTTCAAGGTACTGGATCTTGAAAAACAAGGGAGAGCAATTTATGGATGTTCAGTTCAGAACATCACAATAATAAAAATGTTGTACGCAAATAAAAATGTCACCTGGTATTGCATCCCCTAAAGTTAGAGGTTGGTGCTCAGGAGTAAGTAATCCAGCTAACGTAGAAGGGGAGGCGGACCAACATGTGCTTCAAGATTAGCAATTTCCGGTGGGGCACAGAACTATTCTTGACAAAATGCTCAACGTGCAATCCTCAGGAATCTTCAAAGAGATTTTTCGACGATCTCTTTAAGTTTTCCTAGACTTTTTGTGAGCTTCAAGCTAGGAAATAAAAATCTCCACATGAAACAAAAATATGATATCATAAAACATTAACAATTGCTTTACAAGAATGGCAGCACTGTTAACTTTGCGGTCAAGCTCTTGTATTCTTTTAAATGCCTCAATCTTTTCTGCAGTCTTACGCTCTAATTCAATTTTTTTGTTTTTCCATCTATTCATTTACTTCGTCCTTTAACAAAAAACAAGACGTTTAATGGGAATCATACAAAGATAGCGTAAAACAAAAATAAAAATAAAAATAGACCTTATTTGTGTTGTCTCGTCAATTATTATGTCAAGCTTAGCAAGCTTATGTCGCAATTCTTCAAATCTAAATACACGACACATTAGCACCGAAATTACCATCAAAATGAAAAATTCATTTCAATTTCTCAAACCTTCGCCATCTTCGCTTTGAATTGTCATTTGTTGGATTACTTTATCCGCTGAACCCAAATTTATCTCGCTTTTCTATTGTCGTCTAAATATATAGTTTACAGTGTTAAAGGTAAACTTTGAAATTCAAAAAGGCTCGTTTCATTTTTTAAACCATCAAATGCAAATACATATAATAAATTATCAACTGCCTTCTTGTTAAAATATTCAACAAAAGGTCAGTGTTGTGGCATGAAAAACAGGGGCACTTGAGTAACAAAACTTAACATACGCTATACCACTACAAAAACCCGCATGAAATAGACAACATACTTGGTAAAACAAGAAAATGTCGAAGAATCGATAAAAAGAAGGAAATGCTTCCGTTTGTCCAATTTAACGTTTGATAATCTCCATCATTCTAATTAGCGTGATTTCTTCTCTAGTTTTCGACTTCAAGGTACTGGATCTTGAAAAAAAGGAGAGCAATTTATGGATGTTCAGTTCAGAACATCACAATAATAAAAATTATTGTACGCAAATAAAAATGTCACCTGGTATTGCATCCCCTAAAGTTAGAGGAGTTGGTGCTCCAGGAGTAAGTAATCCAGCTAACGTGGAAGGGGAGGCGGACCAACATGTGCTTCAAGATTAGCAATTTCCGGTGGGGCACCAGAACTATTCTTGACAAAATGCTCAACGTGCAATCCTCAGGAATCTTCCAAAGAGATTTTTCGATGATCTCTTTAAGTTTTTCCTAGACTTTTTTGTGAGCTTCAAGCTAGGAAATAAAAAAATCTCCACATGAAATAAAAATATGATATCATAAAACATTAACAATTGCTTTACAAGAATGGCAGCAATGTTAACTTTGCGGTCAAGCTCTTGTATTCTTTTAAATACCTCATTCTTCTCTGCAGTCTTACGCTCTAATTCAATTTTTTTTGTTTTCCATCTATCATTTGCTTCGTCATTTTAACAAAAACAAGACGTTTAATGGGAATCATACAAAGATGTAAAACAAAAAATAAAAAAAATAAAAATAGACCTTTTCTTGTGTTGTCTAGTCAGTTATGTCAAGCAAGCAAGCCTCTGTCGCAATTCTTCCAAATCTAAAGAATACACGACACATTGCACCGAAGATTACCATAAAATGAAAATCTTCATTTCAATTTCTCAAACCTTCGCCATCTTCGCTGAATTGTCATTTGTTGGATTACTTTATCCGCTAGAACTGAAATTTATCTCCTTCTCTATTGTCGTCTAAATATATAGTTTACAGATGTTAAGGTAAGCTTTGAAATTCAAAATGCTCGTTTCCTTACTAAACCATCAAACGCAGATACATATAATAAATTATCAACTGCCTTCTTGTTAAAATATTCAACAAAGGTCAGTGTTGTGGCTTGGAAAAAACAGGGCACTTGAGTATTAACAAAACTTAATACGCTACACCACTACGAAAAGATCCATGAAATAGACAACATACTTGGAAAAAGAAATGTCGAAGGATGGATAAAAAGGAGGAAATGCTTCCCTTTGTCAATTGTGATAATCTCCGTCATTCTTTTAGCGTAGATTTCTTCTCTAGTTTTACGACTTGCTAAGATACTGGACCTTGAAAAACAAAGGAGAGCAATTGATGGATGTTCAGTTCAGAACATGCAATAATGAAAATTATTGTACTGCAAATAAAATGTCACCTTGTATTGCATCCCCTAAAATTAGAGTGTTGGTGCTCGAGGAGTAAATGAAAATCCAGCTAACGTAGAAGGGAGGCGGACCTACATATTAGCTAAAGATTAGCAATTTCTGGTGGGGCACCAGTACTAATCTTGACAAAGGAAAATGCTCAACGTTGCAATCCTCAGGAGTCTTCCCAAAGAGATTTTTTCAAATGATCTCTTTAAGTTTTCCTAGACTTTTTGTGAGCTTCAAGCTGGAAATAAAAAAATCTCCACATGAAATAAAAAATATGATATCATAAAGAACATTAACAATTGCTTTACAAGAATGGCAGCAATGTTAACTTTTGCAGTCAAGCTCTTGTATTCTTTAAATACCTCATTCTTCTCTGTGATCTTACGCTCCTAATTCAATTTTTTTGTTTTCCATCTATTCATTTTACTTCGTCCTTTAACAAAAACAAGACGTTTAATGGGAATCATACAAAGTGTATAACAAAAATAAAAAAATAAAAATAGACCTTTTCTTCTGTTGTCCTGATCGAATTATGTCAAAGCTTAGCAAGCCTCTGTCGCAATTCATCCAAATCTAAAATACACGACACGTAGCACCGAAGATTACCATAAAAATAGAAAATCTTCATTTCAATTTCTCAAACCTTCGCCATCTTCGCTGAATTGTCATTTGTTGGATTACTTTATCACTAGAACCCAAATTTATCTCCTTCTCTATTGTCGTCTAAATATATAGTTTACAGTGTTAAAGGTAAGCTTTGAAATTCAAAATGCTCGTTTCTTACTAAACCATCAAGCGCAGATACATATAATAAATTATCAACTGCCTTCTTGTTAAAATATTCAACAAAGGTCCAGTGTTGTGGCGGAGAAAAACGGGGGCACTTGAGTAACAAAACTTAACATACGCTACACCACTACGAAGATCCACATGAAATAAGGCAACATACTTGGAAAAAGAAAGAAAATGTCGAAGGAATCGATAAAAAGGAGGAAATGCTTCCGTTTGTCCAATTCTAACGTTTTGATAATCTCCGTCATTCTAATTAGCGTAGTTTCTTCTACGGCTTCAAGGTAGTGGACAGCAAGAATACAAGAGGAAACAGTGATGGATGTTCAGTTCCAGAACATCAAAAAAATAAAAATTATTGTACGCAAATAAAGAAATGTCACCTTGTATTGCATCCCCTAAAGTTAGAGGTTTGGTGCTCCAGGAGTAGTAATCAGCTAACCGTAGAGAAGGGAGGCAGACCTATGTGCTTCAAGATTAGCAATTTCTGGTGGGGCACCAGTACTAATCTTGACAAAATGCTCAACGTTGCAATCCTCAGGAGGAATCTTCAAAGAGATTTTTTCAAACGAATATATTTTAAGTTTTTCCTAGACTTTTTGTGAGCTTCAAGCTGGAAATAAAAATCTCCACATGAAACAAAAATATGATATCATAAAGAAGCATTAACAATTGCTTTTACAAGAATGGCATATTAACTTTGCAGTCAGCTCTTGTATTCTTTTAAGTACTCATTCTTCTCTGCAGTCTTACGCTCTAATTCAATTTTTTTGTTTTTCCATCTATTCATTTACTTCGTCCTTTAACAAAAAACAAGACGTTTAATGGGAATCATACAAAGATAGCGTAAAACAAAAAATAAAAAATAAAACATAGGCCTTTTCTTGTGTTGTCTAGTCAATTATGTCAAGCAGCAAGCCTCTGTCATGGTCTTCCCAAATCTAAAATACGACACATTAGCACCGAGATTACCATAAAATGAAAATCTTCATTTCAATTTCTCAAACCTTCGCCATCTTCGCTTTGAATTGTCATTTTGTTGGATTACTTTTGTCACTAGAACCCAAATTTATCTCGCTTCTCTATTGTCGTCTAAATATATAGTTTACAGTGTTGCAAAGGTAAACTTTGAAATTCAAAATGCTCGTTTCACTTACTAGAACCATCAAACGCAGATACGCTATATAATAAATTATCAACTGCCTTCTTGTTAAAATATTCAACAAAAGGTCAGTGTTGGCAATAGCCGGAGAAAAACAGGGCACTTGAAGTAACAAAACTTAACATACGCTACACCACACTACGAAAGATCCATTAAATAGACAACATACTTGGAAAATGTCAGAAGAATCGATAAAAAGGAGAAATGCTTCCGTTTGTCCAATTTAACGTTTGATAATCTCCGTCATTCTAATTAAGCGTAGATTTCTTCTCTAGTTTTGACTTCAAGGTAGTGGACGAAATACAGAAAGAGAGCAAATTGATGGATATTCCAGTTCAGAACATCAAAAAATAAAATTATTGTACGCAAATAAAAAATGTCACCTTATATTGCATCCCCTAAAGTTACAGGTGTTGGTGCTCCAGGAGTAAGTAATCAGCTAAGAAGAAGTAAAAGGAGGCGGACCATGTAATGCTTCAAGATTAACAATTTCGGTGGGGCACCAGTACTATTCTTGACAAAATGCTCAACGTTGCAATTCTCCAGGAATCTTTCCACGAGATTTTCGACGATCTCTTTAAGTTTTTCCTAGACTTTTTGTGAGCTACAAGCTGGAAATAAAAATCTCCACATGAAACAAAAATATGATATCATAAAGAAACATTAACAATTTAGCTTTACAAGAATGGCAGCAATGTTAACTTTGCAGTCAAGCTCTTGTATTCTTTAAATACCTCATTATTCTTCTCTGCAGTCTTACACGGCTCTATTTCAATTTTTGTTTTTCCATCTCTTCATTTATTTCGTCTTTAACAAAAACAAGACGTTTAATAGAGATCATACAAAGATAGCGTAAAACAAAATAAAAATAAAAAGAGACCTTTTCTTGTGTTGTCTCGTCAATTATTGTAATCCAAGCTTAGCAAGCCTATATCGCAATTCTTCCAATCTAAAATACACGACACATTAGCACCGAAGATTACCATCAAAATGAAAATCTTCATTTCAATTCTCAAACCTTCGCCATCTTCGCTTTGAATTGTCATTTGTTGGATTAGCACATCCGCTAGAACCAAATTTATCTCGCTTCTCTATTGTCGTCTAAATATATAGTTTACAGTGTTAAGGTAAACTTTGAAATTCAAAAGGCTCGTTTCATTTTTAAACTATCAAACGCAAATACATATAATAAATTATCAACTATTCTTGTTAAAATATTCAACAAAAGGTCAGTGTTGTGTGATAGCGAAAAAACAGGGCACTTGGAAGTAACAAAACTTAACATACGCTATACCACTACGAAAAGACCCACATGAAATAGACAACATACTTGAGTAAAACAAAGAAAATGTCGAAGAATCGATAAAAAGGAGGAAATGCTTCCGTTTGTCCAATTTAACGTTTGATAATCTCCATCATTCTAATTAAGCGTAGATTTCTTCTCTAGTTTGCGACTTCAAAGGTGCTGGATCTTGAAAAACAAGGGAGAGCAATTTATGGATGTTAAGTTCAGAACATCACAATAATAAAATTATTGTACGCAAATAAAAAATGTCACCTGGTGTGCATCCCTAAAAGTTAGAGGAGTTGGTGGTGCTCCAGGGGTAGTGTCCAGCTAACGTAGAAGGGGAGAGCCCGGACCAACATGTGCTTCAAGATTAGCAATTTCCGGTGAGGCACCAGAGACTATTCTTGACAAATGCTCAACATTAAATCCTCAGGAATCTTCCAAAGAGATTTTCGACGATCTCTTTAAGTTTCCTAGACTTTTATGAGCTTCAAGCTAGGAATAAAATGCATGAAACAATGTGATATCATAAAACATTAACAATTGCTTTACAGAATAGCACTGTTAACTTTGCGGTCAAGCTCTTGTATTCTTTAAATGCCTCAATCTTTCTGCAGTCTTACGCTCTAATTCAATTTTTATTTTTCCATCTATTCATTTACTTCGTCCTTTAACAAAAACAAGACGTTTAATGGGAATCATACAAAGATAATGAAACAAAAATAAAAAATAAAAAATAGACCTTTTCTTGTGTTGTCTAGTCAATTATGTCAAGCTTAGCAAGCCTCTGTCGCAATTCTTCCAAATCTAAAATACACGACACATTAGCACCGAAGATTACCATAAAAATGAAAATCTTCATTTCAATTTCTCAAACCTTCGCCATCTTCGCTTTGAATTGTCATTTGTTGGATTACTTTATCCGCTAGAACCCAAATTTATCTCGCTTCTCTATTGTCGTCTAAATATATAGTTTACACAGTGTTAAAGGTAAACTTTGGAAATTCAAAATGCTCGTTTCACTTACTAAACCATCAAACGCAGATACATATAATAAATTATCAACTGCCTTCTTGTTAAAATATTCAACAAAAGGTCATTTATGTGAAAAAACAGGGCACTTGAGTAACAAAACCAACATACGCTACACCACTACGAAAAGATCCACATGAAATAGACAACATACTTGGAAAAAGAAAATGTCGAAGAATGGATAAAGAGGAGGAAATGCTTCCGTTTGTCAATTTAGCGTTTGATAATCTCCGTCATTCTTATTAAGCGTACATTTCTTCTCTAGTTTACAACTTCAGTACTGGACAGCCGAAAAACAAGGAAACAATTGATGGATGTTCAGTTCAGAACATCACAATAATGAAAATTATTGTACACAAAATAAAAATGTCACCTTGTATTGTATCCCCTAAAATTAGAAGTGTTGGTGCTCCAGGAGTAAGTAATCAGCTAAAGTAAAGGAGGCGGACCAACCTTAATGCTTCAAGATTAGCAATTTCCGGTGGGGTACAATTATTCTTGACAAAATGCTCAACGTTGCAATCCTCGGGAATCTTTCCACGAGATTTTCGACGATCTCTTTAAGTTTTCTAGACTTTTTTGTCAGCTTCAAAGCTAGGGAAATAAAAATCTCCACATGAAACAAAATATGATATCATAAAACATTAACAGTGCTACAGAATGGCAGCACTGTTAACTTTGCGGTCAGGCTCTTGTATTCTTTTAAATACCTCATTCTTCTCTGCAGTCTTACGCTCTAATTCCAATTTTCTGTTTTCCATCTCTTCATTTACTTCGTCCTTTAACAAAAACAAAGACGTTTAATGGGAATCATACAAGATAGTACATTACAACCAGAAAATAAAAAAATAAAAAGACCTTTTCTTGTGTTGTCTCGTCAATTATTATATCCAAGCTTAGCAAGCCTATGTCGCAATTCTTCAAATCTAAAATACACGACACATTAGTGCATCAAAATGAAAATCTTCATTTCAATTTCTCAAACCTTCATGCATCTTCGCTTTGAATTGTCATTTGTTGGATTACTTTATCGCTAGAACTAAATTTATCTCGCTTTTCTATTGTCGTCTAAATATATAGTTTACAGTGTTAAAAGGTAAACTTTGAAATTCAAAATATGTTCCTTACTAAAGCATCAAATGCAGATACATATAATAAATTATCAACTGCCTTCTTGTTAAAATATTCAACAAAAGGTCAGTGTTGTAGCGGAGAGAAAAATGGGAGCGCGGAAATTAACAAAACTTAACATACGCTACACCACTACGAAAAGATCCATGAAATAGACAACATACTTGGAAAGAAGAAAATGTCGAATGGATAAAAAAAGGAGGAAATGCTTCCGTTTGTCAATTTAGCGTTTGATAATCCATCATTCTTATTAGCGTACATTTCTTCTCTAGTTTACGACTTCAAGGTGATGGACCTTGAAAAACAAGAAACAATTGATGGATGTTCAGTTCAGAACATCGCAATATCAAAGAGATATTGTACGCAAATAAAATGTCACCTTGTATTGCATCCCCTAAAGTTAGAGGTGTTGGTGCTCCAGGATTAAGTAATCCAGCTAACGTATTAGAAGGGAGGCGGACCTACTATGTCTTCAATATTAGCAATTTCCGGTGGGGCACCAGTACTATTCTTGACAAAGATACTAAACGTTGCAATCCTCAGGAATCTTCCCGAGGATTTTTCGACTGATCTCTTTAAGTTTTCCTAGATTTTGTGAGCTACAAGCAGGAAATAAAAAATCTCCACATGAAACAAAAATATGATATCATAAAACATTAACAATTGCTTTACAAGAATGTCAGCAATGTTAACTTTGCGGTCAAGCTCTTGTATTCTTTTAAATACCTCATTCTTCTCTGCAGTCTTAGATTCTAATTCAATTTTTCTGTTTTTCCATCTCTTCATTTACTTCGTCCTTTAACAAAAAACAAGACGTTTAATGGGAATCATGCAAAGATAGCGTAAAACAAAAAATAAAAAATAAAAAAGAGACCTTTTCTTGTGTTGTCTCGTCAATTATTATGTCAAGCTTAGCAAGCCTATATGCAATTCTTCCAAATCTAAAATACACGACACATTAGCACCGAAGATTACCATCAAAATGAAAATCTTCATTTCAATTTCTCAAACCTTCGCCATCTTCGCTTTGAATTGTCATTTGTTGGATTACTTATCCGCTAGAACCCAAATTTATCTCTTTTCTATTGTCGTCTATAATATATAGTTTACAGTGTTAAAGGTAAACTTTGAAATTCAAAAAGGCTCGTTTCATTTTTTAAACCATCAAACGCAAATACATATAATAAATTATCAACTGCCTTCTTGTTAAAATATTCAACAAAAGGTCAGTGTTGTGGCGGTGAAAACGGCACCGGAAGTAACAAAACTTAACATACGCTATACCACTACGAAAAGACCCACATGAAATAGACAACATACTTGGTAAAACAAGAAAATGTCGAAGAATCGATAAAAAAGGAGGAAATGCTTCCGTTTGTCCAATTTAACGTTTGATAATCTCCATCATTCTAATTAGCGTAGATTTCTTCTCTAGTTTTACGACTTCAAGGTACTGGATCTTGAAAAACAAGGGAGAGCAATTTATGGATGTTCAGTTCAGAACATCACAATAATAAAAATTATTGTACGCAAATAAAAATGTCACCTGGTATTGCATCCCCTAAAGTTAGAGGAGTTGGTGCTCCAGGAGTAAGTAATCCAGCTAACGTGGAAGGGGAGGCGGACCAACATGTGCTTCAAGATTAGCAATTTCCGGTGGGGCACCAGAACTATTCTTGACAAAATGCTCAACGTGCAATCCCAGGAATCTTCCAAAGATTTTTCGATGATCTCTTTAAGTTTTTCCTAGACTTTTGTGAGCTTCAAGCTAGGAAATAAAAATCTCCACATGAAACAAAATATGATATCATAAAACATTAACAATTGCTTTACAAGAATGGCAGCACTGTTAACTTTGCGGTCAAGCTCTTGTATTCTTTAAATGCCTCAATCTTTTCTGCAGTCTTACGCTCTATTCAATTTTTTGTTTTTCCATCTATTCATTTACTTCTGTCCTTAACAAAAACAAGACGTTTAATGAATCATACAAAGATAGCGTAAAACAAAAATAAAAATAAAAAAATAGACCTTTTCTTGTGTTGTCTAGTCAATTATGTCAAGCTTAGCAAGCCTCTGTCGCAATTCATCCAAATCTAAAATACACGACATTAGCACCGAAGATTACCATAAAATGAAAATCTTCATTTCAATTTCTCAAACCTTCGCCATCTTCGCTTTGAATTGTCATTTGTTGGATTACTTTATCCGCTAGAACCCAAATTTATCTCGCTTCTATTGTCAGTTCCAAATATATAGTTTACAGTGTTAAAGGTAAACTTTGAAATTCAAAATTGTTTCAATTTATAAAGCATCAAACGCAGATACTTATATAATAAATTATCAACTGCCTTCTTATTAAAATATTCAACAAAAGGTCAGTGTTGTGGCGGAGAAAACGGGGCACTTGAAGTAACAAAACTTAACATCGCTACAACCACTACGAAAGATCCACATGAAATAGACAAATACTTGGAAAAAGAAGAAAATGTCGAAGAATCGATAAAAAGGAGGAAATGCTTCCGTTTGTCCAATTTAACGTTTGATAATCTCCGTCATTCTAATTAGCGTAGATTTCCTTCTCTAGTTTTACGACCGGTAGTGGACCTTGAAATACAAGAGAGAAAGAATTGATGGATGTTCAGTTCAGAAACATCAAAAAATAAAATTATTGTACGCAAATAAAAATACAATTTGTATTGCATCCCCTAAAGTTAGAGGTGTTGGTGCTCCAGGAGTAAGTAATCCAGCTAACGTAGAAGGGGAGGCGGACCTGTTATGTGCTTCCAAGATAGCAATTCTGGTGGGGCACCGTACTAATCTTGACAAAATGCTCAACGTTGCAACCTCAGAATCTTCCAAAGAGATTTTCGACGATCTCTTTAAGTTTTTCCTAGACTTTTTGTGAGTCAAGTTGTGGAAATAAAAAAATTCCACATGAAACAAAAATATGATATCATAAAACACAATTGCTTTTACAAGAATGGCAGCAATGTTAACTTTGCAGTCAAGCTCATTCTTTTAAATACCTCATTCTTCTCTGCAGTCTTACGCTCTAATTAATTTTTTGTTTTTCCATCTATTCATTACTTCGTCCTTAACAAAAAAGACGTTTAATAAATCATACAAAGATATGTAAAAACAAAAAATAAAAATAAAACATAGCCTTTTCTTGTGTTGTTCAGTCAATTATGTCCAGCTTAGCAAGCCTCTGTCGTATTCTTCCAAATTTAAAATATAATGACACATTAGCACCGAAGATTACCATAAAATGAAAATCTTCATTTCATTTTCAAACCTTCGCCATCTTCGCTTTGAATTGTCATTTGTTGGATTACTTTATCCGCTGAACCCAAATTTATCTCGCTTTCATTGTCTAAATATATAGTTTACAGTGTTAAAGGTAAACTTTGAAATTCAAAAATGCTCGTTTCCACTACTAAACCATCAAACGCAGATACATATAATAAATTATCAACTGCCTTCTTGTTAAAATATTCAACAAAAGGCTTCAGGTTGTGGCGGAGAAAAAAACGTAAAATGGCGTAACAAAACTTAACATACGCTACACCACTACGAAAAAGATCCACATGAAATTGACAACATACTTGGAAAAAGAAATGTCGAAGAATCAGATAAAAAAGGAGTGAAATGCTTCCTGTTTGTCCAATTTAATTTGATAATCTCCGTCATTCTACTCATGTAGATTTCTTTCTCTAGTTTTACGACTTCAAGGTAGTGGACCTTGAAATACAAGAGAGAGTAATTGATGGATGTTCAGTTCAGAACATGAAAAAATAA